GGTAAATTTTAGCGTGAAATTTATCGAAAATCTAACGTACAGCTGCATTAGCATTACAATTAAATAGTGAACATTGCTTTCTGACTTCATTCTTTAACAACCCAACTAACAATATTTTTTTTCTGTTTCAGATTCTGATGCATTTATAAGTTGATAATATTTGCGATGGCTGCTTGTGTCAGGACGAGGAACCAAAAATCCAGCCATCTCAGTCACTATCTTGGGTCTGGGAGAGAGCTCCTGAAGTCGGAGTTGCCTACATTGAGAGATGCTTTGAGATACGGTGTTTTAATCAGGCAAATCAGTGAAAAGAACCAAAGAACTTACACAAACAAAGATATTGCCAGTGATATGACCAAAGCTGTCTTGGCACAGTACACTCTGGCTAACGCTCAGTTCAAGCCTCCAGTCATAACAAGTCAGAAGAAGATTAGTGAGAGACTGCTAGCCAGTTGGGAAAACTTTTGTTGCCAAGCAACTGGACCAGTTATTTGACATAATTACTTGCAAGTGCCCAATTGTTCTCTGTCCTGAGTTTGGATGCGATCGTGACTGTAAATCCGAGGCCCACATCTCCTGTATTTGCAAGCGTGAACTGAAGATTCCTGTGATCGAACTGGCATTTGTCAAAGCACAGAGAGAGAAGACTGGCAGTATAGGGGCTCTCATGATTTCTAGCCAAGATATTCCGGAGTCCAAGAGACAGGAGGCTGCCACAGAGAGACAGAAGAGGAGAAGAGTTGCCGAGGAAAAGAGACTTGAGAAGGCCCAGGGTGAGGTAAAAAAGGCCGATGATTGGAGTCAAGCTGATTCAGAGTTTAATGACTTCCCCATGGCTGATCCGAGTGCTGACCAGGAGAATGGTGACTTTGTCCCTAACCCAGAAAATAATGATTCCAAACCTTCCAGCCATAAGATTCGAAATAGGAAAGATATCCGAGCATAGCTCTGGCCAGCATGCGACACCACACTGGTCTCAGAGAAACTGCAGAGATAGCAACAGCTGCCTGGATTGACGGTGGTTTGATAACACCTGATGATGTTCACCTGGTGATAGATCATAACAAAGTAAGGAGAGCTCAGGAGAAACTTGTCAGTAACCTAGAAGAGGAGTTTGATTAGGGGATAAGAGAAAATGGAATCAATTGTTTGTTCTTTGATGGGAGAAGGGATGACACTAAAGTGTTCATGAAAGTTGGAGATTCTGAAAAGTTGTTCCCTGCCATGGTGAAGGAGGAACACTACTCCTGCTGCAGTGAACCAGGAGGGAAGTATTTGTGGCATTTCACTCCAGAGAAAGATGACATCAGGAAACCAGCTGTGATAGTGGCAGATAATTCTTATTATAGAATGGACATAGATTCTTTGGAGAGAGTACAAAGAAGAATGACAAAAATGATCCATAATATTAGAAACCTTCCATATGAAGAAAGACTGAAAAGCTTAGGCTTACATTCATTAGAGAGGCGTAGAGTTAGGGGAGATATGATAGAGGTGTACAAGTGGGTAAGTGGGATTAACAAGGGTAAAATGGAAGATGTTCTGAAGCTCAGTAATAACGAAATAACTAGAACAAATGGCTTTAAATTAGATAAATTCCGATTCAGAAAGGATATAGGCAAGCACTGGTTTGGTAATAGAGTTGTGGATATGTGGAATAGGCTACCGAGTGCTATAGTAGGATCGGGGACGCTAGGGAGCTCCAAGACGAAGTTGGATAGGCACATGGAAGTGCTGGGATGGGTGTGAAAGGGATCTGCCCTGTATGGGCCAGTCGGCCTCCTGCGGTATCCCACTTTCTTATGTTCTTATGTATAACATTGTGAACTGGCTCAGAGAGAGGAACGTAGACCAGACCCTGCAGGCCATTGGAGGGGACAGCACCAACACGAACACAGGGTGGCAAGGGGGGGTCATACAGTGGATAGAGCGGAAGATTGGGAGGAAGCTAGTCTGGATTGTTTGTGACCTCCACACCAACGAGTTGCCACTCAGACATCTGATCCAGGAGCTGGATGGCAAGACTCTTTCAAACAACAGATGGTCTGGTCCTCTTGGCAAGATGCTGGACTCTGCCACTGAGTTAGAAATAAATCTGAGCTTTGAAAAAATCACAGTTGGCCCTCCACTCGTTGAGCTTGCACATACTGTCATTGACGACCTGAGTACTGACCAGTACTATGGTTACATGATTTTGCAGTGCCAAAAACTGGGGTCATGCCTGATAGACTTGCTTACCTGCAGATAGGTCCAGTCTCACATTCTAGGTGGCTCACAACGGCTCTCAGGTTCTGCAGAATTTGGGTCGCTCATCATAAACTGAAAGGGAACCAGCTTCACAACCTGAGACTTATTGTCCAATTCATCGTGAGTGTCTAGTTTGAGGTGCATTAACCCGACATAGTGGCCATCAGAGATGTCCAGGAGGGTTACTAGAAAGAGATGATATTGCAGCAGTGATTGCATTGTACAAAGCGAACCATGTACTGAGAGAAATTTTGGCTCAGACTGGTGTGGCATTACGAGTTGTTCAAAATCTTGTCAAACGTTTCCGTGATCTTGGAGAGGACGAGTTACCAGCTCCATTACCTAAGTCTGGTAGGCCTAAATTATTGTCTCCACGGACACTTAAGGTTATTTCTCGACAAGTTCGGCCCAATCCCTCACTCACAGCACGTGAAGTGAAAGAGAGAAACCCCCGTCTTTTGAGTCACGTCTCGTTACGTTGTGTTCAACAAGCCCTGCACGATGACCTGGGATTTAAGAGTTTTCGTGCCCGCCGTAAACCTCTGTTGACAAAGAAACAAGGAAAATAGAGTGAAATTTTGCAAGAAATATGAAGTGTGGGATTTAGAGTCATGGAAAAGTGTATTGTGGTCCGACGAGGCTACGTTTTCTGTGACTGGGAGTAGTGGTGGGAGGGTGTACTGCCCGCCCCACTCAGACGCACACCTCCCACAGTACACTGTAAAGACTGTTAAGCACCCTGCCTAGCTTATGGTTTGGGCTTCCTTTACGTATTATGGTGTTGGTGAACTAGTAATCCTCCATAAGAACCAGATGATGAATCAGTACAACTTTCTTGAACTGCTCAGTGATTTCTTACCTGAATCATTTGATAAAGCTAAGGCAAGCCTTTTCATGCAGGACGGTGCCCCATGCCACACTGCTAAAAGTGTCATACAGTGGCTCAAAGACTGTGAGGTACCTTTCTTTAATGACTGGCCTGACAGAAGCCCAGATCTTAACCCAATAGAAAATTTGTGGTCCACTGTTAAGCGTCGTCTGCGCGACGCTGACACATCATCAATCCCGAAGCAAGAGGCAGCCATCAAGGATACCTGGGCTAACTTGCCACCTGATGTCTTGCAAAACCTTTCTGACAGTGTTTCTCGAAGGCTAAAAGACTGTCTGAAGTGCAGTGGAAACACTACAAAGTACTAATTGAAGTGGTAAGTGTTACTTGACTTTATTTATATAACAATCGTAAATATCAATATTTTTCAGCACACGATCTCACATTCCTCGCAGACTGTATGTATGCCGCGTTGCCAAATTAAAAGAAACAATGTAAACCCTGCAATTGTGTGTAAATGAAGGAGAAAGGCAGATCAGCAACCTGGGACTTGGTCACAATTGTTATGATTTATACAGTAAACCCTTGTTATTTAGGGGTTTGCAATTCACAATTGTGACTATTTGCAGTAAGCGTATGGTGGCTAGCTTATAAGCCTCTCCCGCAGCGCAACAAGTCACCCACATGCATCTGCACCATCTCCTCTCCCTTTGTTTGTGCTCAACCATTGCCTGCGGCACAGCATCTCTGGTGTTGTACTCAAAACTTTAGTGTTTCTGTCTGAAATGACCCCTAAAAGGCTGCCTAGTGATGCTAGTGCAGTAAAACATTCAGACCTCAATGCCAAGAGGAAACAACTACCAATCACAATGTCTTTGAAGAGAGAACCAGCCGCTCACCCAGCTGATTCGTCTCCCTTACCTACTCGGTCAGCTGCTGCCGCCTCTCCATCACTCACCTCCTCACCATGCGCCACCCACCACCCGCCTCCCTGCCGCTCCACCACTCACCTCTCCACCAACCATCACTGCATCACCCTCTTCCAACAGTGATCCTGATGATCTCCCTATGCTTCAGTAACTAGATTTCATCCTACTGTACAGTACACTTAATCAAGCTTCAACATACGAAAGAGAGTAGTATTAGTGACTTAAATCTCTTATACACAGTATAGGTACAGGAGGTCCCCCAAATTTGTAGTTCTTTATTATTCATGGATGACACCCTGGCTGTACCCAAGAATGTCTGTGGATAGTTTTAAAGTTGCCAGTATTTTTGTGGCTGGGACAGGGAGCCATTAGTTCTAGAGACAGCAATTTCCTTTACCTGTATTGTAAATATGTGTGTGTGTGTGTGTGTGTGTGTGTGTGTGTGTAGACACACACACACACAAAACACATACAAATAATTAAAAATGGGAAAATATTCTCATAAATAATCAGAAAGAAATTTATTAAAATTATGAGTCTACCCTCAAGTCCGTGCTTTATTAATAAAGTAATAGAGCACGGACTTGAGGGCAGACGGTCACATTCTTAATAAATTTGTTTCTGATTAGTACTGTATTTGTGAGAGGATTTTCCCATTATTATTTATTTGTATGTGTTTTGTGTGTGTGTGTCTACACACACACACACACACACACAGATATACACTACATGTAAAAGAAATAACTGTCCTAAGGGCAAACCCCAGCGAATTTGGAGGGCCTAATGTATACAGTAGTGCAATAAGAAAGTATAAGTTGCTATTTGCGGTTTTGCGAATTTGCGCCATTCCTTGGAACCTAACACCAGCGAATAGCAAGGGTTTACTATATAAAGTACTGTACACCACTACCATGTCCAAGCACAGCCTAATACACCAGGTATTCATGTCTCAAGATACATGTTCAGAACAAGTTTTACACAAGTATTAAACTCACCTATAAGTGAGCAGCCCATGACGTACGCCCATCCATGGTCACGATAAGCAGTGATGACGGAGTCTTGAGGCCTCAGAGCTGCTTTTATACCTACACAGATGGCTTCTTGACCACTGTACAAGTGACAGAATCCACGAATGGCCTGTAAAAATGAATTACTCCATTCAATAATTAGAGACTCCTAACTGCTTATGTAGAATGATAAAAATACAGTGGTCCCTCGATTAACGAAATTTTGATTAACGAATTACCTTCCATAAGAATGTTCAATTCGACTAACGAACAAAAATTCGGTGTACGACATTCTTACGAAAATGTTTCGACATGCTTTGACTTACTCACCAGCTGGAAGATTTGTCCGCCAATACAGAAATCGGTTCTAGGGCTTACATTCGTTAAAATTGGAGTAAATGTCAAGAAGGTTGTACTATTCAATAATTTTCCAAGTTTTATATTAAGTTTTTTAGTCATTTTAACACTTATTTAACATAATTGCAGTACAGGGAACTAGTTTTTGGTGCACCCATCAGCCACTTCACTCACCCACGAAGGCCTCAGTTTGTATCTCTGTTCAGTGGAGGAAACATCTTGCTTGTGGGTCTCTTGAACACAGAGTAGTTTTACGTTTTTACAGTACAATTATTGGTCATTCTGAAATATATTTAACATGGTGACAATATATAGTGCAGTGCAGTGTTGATTTAAAGAAAATAATCTTGAATTACACCTAGTGAACTTAAAATTTTATGGGTGAAATGAGGGCATCAAGCATGGGGTGATTTCTCTTCCACCCCCACTTCCTTCTCTTTTCCCTTCTCCTCCACCCCCACTTCTAATTCCCATTATCATCATCAACCAGGAGCCTTCTATATACTCACCTTAGAGTAAGTGTACTTTACTGCATTTTTTTTTTTTACTTTGTATGTAATTTTCGGTGAGCTAGATCCAATTACCAAATATCCCATTGAAACAATGGATTCGGTTAACGAACGACCTTCTGGAACCTTCTGGAATGAATTGTGTTCGTTAACCGAGGGACCACTGTAATTGGTTCTATGTTTACATTCGTTTCCAGTGGAGTAAATATCAAGAAAGTTGGTCTCTTGAATATTTCTGCATTTTTTATACCGTATATCACGGCCTATAAGGCGGCGGGGTGCATAAGACACCCCCCCCCAAATTTCCATTTAAAAAGTAGCTTTTGAGCTCTATTTGCTGTATAAGACCAGTACCCCAAATGTGACACTTACCCACTGACTCAGTAGTCCTTTACCAACCATCCTTGATTTTTTAAAATAAGGCCAATTCACTTCAAGTAATGTCATCAAATTATACCCGCTGGTGTAGTGTAAACACTAGTGACGTCACTGAAGCGTCTGCTATTTACCGATAACTGGAACTAATGTCGGTATCGAGTAAAATTTTTCCATTTACTTGAAATGGATTTACTGATTTATTTGTTTATTTATTTATTTATTTATAATATACTGTAACATATTAAACACACTGCAAGTATTTTCTTTCATTTATACGCTTGCTTCACACGAGACGATCGGTGGTGGGAGTGTTCCCTCGTCTCGGTGGTGTGGCTGTGTTCCGACTATTTATACAACATGTGGTTCAACAGCAACCACCGTATTCTAATTGTGGTGTTTCATTAGGATTTGAGTGAAAAAGGTTACCAGTATGTACTTACTACATACATTTATTACACAAATATATATATATATATATATATATATATATATATATATATATATATATATATATATATATATATATATATATATATATATATATATATATATATATATATATATATATATATATATATATATATATATATATACTGAATATACTATGTACAAAAAATGAATGTTCAATGAATTATTTATGGTGCATTAGGGTACTGGCCACTTCAGACGAGCTATAAATAGCCTTATCTCCCCTCCATCTCACCCTGAGCCAGAGGGAAGCGTCTTGGTAAATAACATGTTTGCTTATTTTCCATTTACTTGAAATAGATTTACCGAATTGCAGTTTCAATTGTTCCTCTTACTTTGACAACACAACATACATACAGTATATTATTTCTCAGTTTTGATCTTTTTTTTTAATTTTTGTATTTATTTATAGTTAGTTACTTAAAATAAGGCCAATTCACTTCAAGTAATGGCATCAAATATTACCAGCTGGTGTAGTGTAAACACTAGTGACGTCACTTGAGCGTCTGTAATTAACCGTCGATAGTTTCAAGAATTAATGCACTCATTTACTGAATATTCTTTGGAAAAAAATAAAATTTAAATCAATTATTTATAGGAGATAAATATTATTATGAGTAAATATACCGATACCGGTATGCATTACTGACCACCTCCACGGCTAAAAATAGCCCAATCTCGTGGTCACTTTCCCTTTCTTGTCTCCTCACTGGCAAATGGGGGGGGGCGTGGGGAGGGGTGTGTGATGATAGCTGTGTTTATTACAGGGGTATAAATCTCTTTTACGGTATGTTAGACAGGTTTATAATACATTTTTATTATTTTAATATACCGGTAATCTTAATTTGAATCCAGCTTGCCAAACGTAAGTTTCAGTATAAAATAATTAGTGGTAAGACCTTGTGAGTGGCTTACGATGTTTTCATCACCACTCTTGACACACTAAACCACAATATTTAAGAGGTAAGAATTTTAAACTTGGTGGTTTAGACGACCCCCTAACTTTGGGCAGATTTTTTTAATGTTCAAATTTCGTCTTATAGGCCGTGATATACGGTATTAAAATTATTGGTCATTCTGAAATTTAGTTAACATATTGATAATATATACAGTACAAGGAGCAGTTTTTGTGCGCCCATCAGCTGATTGAATCACCCAACAATGCGTCTCAGTTTAACTTTGTTTACAGTGGAGTGAACATCGATTTTGTTGGTCTCGTGAATATTTTTGCATTTTTACATTAAAATTATTGGTCATTCTGAAATTTAGTTAACATATTGATAATATACAGCTCCTCCCCGACTTACGATGGGGTTAGGGACCCAAATCCAGGTCGTAAGTTGAAATGGTCGTAAGTCGGAAATGCTTAATACATAGAAAATCTAAAATGGGTCTCTTTTTTCTTCTCAGCACCACAATAACACTCACTTTGAAGCTTTCCAGCCATTTTAAAGTGCATTACAAACAAAAATTTTGTCTGTGTACTGACTTTGGCACTCGAAAATATGTAATTTGACCAAATTTTGGTACGACTGAGGCAGGTCGTAAGTGCGGGTGGTCATAAGTCGAGTAGGTTCGTAAGACGGGGAGGAGCTGTACAGTGCAGAAATTATTATGAAACACGAAGAAGGCATTAGAACCAATGCACTCTGTAAAGAATATGGCATGTCATCAGCGACTGCCTCTACAATCATCTGTTTGATATGTAAACAAAGCTGCCGGGAATACGACATACAAACCTCAAAGTAAGTTAAAATACAGTACAGTAGTACCCCGATTTACACGGTCAATTGAACCCACAGGGTACCGCGTTAAGTGAAATCCGCGTAAATGGAACAAAAGAACATATGGGATTCATTCCAATAGAGACTGGCCCGACCCCAAACTCCACTTTTTCCGACACAATACCTATGATGTAGTAAAAATAACATCTAAATTTTATGATGGTATGCTCACACAATTAATATTTAAGAGAAATACAGTCGCCAGGTTAATGTCCATTCAAATAATAGACTCAAATCCCCCCCCCCCTCTTCCCAGCTCACTGGCCCCTACCTCTCTGAGAAATGATTGGGTGAAACACTAGATTTTAACGTTTAGTAATAAATAATACCTCATACTAAAGTTAGGATAATATAATTGACATTTCTGGATTCCTTGCAGGTCAGGGAATATTTTGAATGTAAACTTCATATATTTTGCACAAAAGATAAAATACAGTCAGACCCCGACTTACGACTGCTACGACTTACGACCGTCGGGACTTACGACCGCCGCAGATTTTTTATTATTTTTTTTTCTATACCGAAACGTTTCCAGTTAATGTAGTCTCCATGTATAATTAGAAAATTATGGGGGCCCCATGTGCATTCAGCTGACTACATTAAAGGTAAGTGCTCAGTCACACTGTAACCATTCCTTATTATTTATTACTTTCACTGTACTGTATCCATTCCTCATTATTCATTACTTTTACTGTACTGTATTTCATTGTAGATTATTTATTAAAAAAAAAAAAAAATTATCTATGTCGGACTTACGACCATGTCGACTTACGACCTGGATTTGGGTCCCTAACCCCGTCGTGTATGTCTAAAATTTGTATGTCTAATGCAAAATCTATGATGTTTATATTCAAAATGATCATCAAATTGTAAGAATTCCAGCAATGTAAATTATATTCTGGCCGGGTAATTTGTATGAATTTTATGAGCTAAAACAAATATCTTCAGTTAATAAAAAAAAATATTCTTCACACCGTGCCAGATGGTCGGTCGGTCCCTCCCTCCCCCCCACCCCCCACCAACCCTCCCTACCAGATAAATGTGTGGGAAAACCAGAATATTTACCTTTTTAGTAATAAATAATACCTCAGACTAAAGTTAGGATAATATAATTGACATTGCTGGATTCCTTGTAAGACCAGGAATATTTTGAATATAAATGTCATATATTTTGCACAAAAGATAACATATTTACTCAGAGTAAACATTACATCTAAAATTTGTATGTCTAATGCAAAATCTATGATGTTTATATTCAAAATGATCATCAAATTGTAAGAATTCCAGCAATGTAAATTATATTCTGGCCGGGTAATTTGTATGAATTTTATGAGCTAAATAAAAAAAAAAAATTATACTTCACGCGTATATGGGTAGATGAACCGCGTAAAGTGAAAGTTCGGTTCTGGCGAGGCACCGCGTATATGAGAAATCGCGTAAAGTGAAACCGCGTAAAGCGGGGTACAACTGTACTGTATTCTATTGTTTTTCATTTACTATTGTACAATATACTGTACAGTACAGTACTGTATTTAATTTATACTTAATGTTTTGTTAATTCTATTACTGTACTGGTATACAGTACGTATTTTGTTTGTACTTTTTCTGTGAGTTGGAACCAATTACCCAATTTC